AGGCAAGTACAACTGAGTAATATGGGCATCATACCCCAACAAACTAGCAACAGATTAACCAAATATAATATGATACGGCCTAAGAAGATAAACATACCATTGAAGAGAATATTAGTGAACGAGCATCCAGCAAAACCCCTAAAGGGGAATGGTGGATTACCATGAAAAGAAGGTGAATGGAGGAATAACAATAGAAAAGGGGTAGTGTATGTAAGACAAGGATAGAAAAACCTATGCCTACTTTGCTAAGAAAGATGAACAAAATACAAAGGATCTGACCACCAAGTCTGAAAAAAAAGACTACAGAGTTTAGGAGTCAAAGAAAAGCAATACAGCACGAAGTCATGCCTGGTCATACGAAGTAACAAAGGAAGGAGCCCTAGGTATGTATGCCTCAAAGTAGTGGTAAAAGTAACTGAATATGGATTGGAAGTACAAAAACATACCTGAGAAACTCGGTCCTGAAATTACAAAAAAGAAAGAAGGCTGAGGTAGAATCAAGACAGCATGGGTATAAGATGAAGCCCAGGTAAGTGGTGGGAAACAACTGGCAAAATCCCCTCCATTATGAATGAGAAACAGATGAAGGTATGTCAGGGATAAAATAAGGCTCAGGCCACATGAAAGACTCTGCCATCTGCCGCACAAAAGCTGTCACTTCTCCCAAGAGATAAAGCCAAACCTAATGCCAAGGTAGTTTTTATACTTGCATAAACAAAGTTGTGTTGTTTCACACCAGATAAAGTGGAAGTTACTGATACTTATAAGAAAATATTCTTCAACATTTAATATTTACAGAACAGGTAATGTCTTTGTAGATATTTTCACTAAAAAATGCATATATATATATATGAAAAGTTCATAAGCAAAAAAACACATCATTACAAAAAATGTCAAATCAATAAGTGATGATTGTACTCTACAGTACAGAGGGACTCAGCTGCACTAGTAGGGTGTGTGGCACTCCTATTGGTGGAGGGTCATTGCATGCTACAATGCAACTATACCATATGTAGGCAAGTGCTGTTAGGTGGGAACCTCAAGGCTAATGGTGAGCAAAAATTGTACACATAGAGGGAAGCACAAATTTAGGAAAGCTATCATGCATGTGGAGGTTAGGTATTGTATCAGAATTTCTAGTTTGAGCTCCAAAAAAAAATAAGTTTTAAGTTCATAATTTTATAAGGAAATATTTAAAAAAATCCCCAGTCTCCCCTAGTATAAGAATTGTGACATTTATTGTCTAGGTCTTCCCTCTTCTCTGATTTCTTTACCTCCACTCCAAGAAGTATAGAATTTAACATAAATTATTAATTATAATATAGTTATTACTCATGGAAAGCATAATTCTTATAGCATTCAATCTTATTTGCTCACAGCCATAAACTAGAAATCACATTTTGATGTCAAGCATATTGGTATACCAATGTAACTACCTAATAAGTTGTAACATGCATAATTTGACCTGTCCATAGTGAAAGGGTTAATGGAAGGATAGAACAGTGGTTATAACTTTTCTCCATTATGTATAAATCTAATGCTTATAAATATTGCTCTTGTGATTAACCCTTTCATGACGGGCTCAGTATAAAATATACGAGTTCATATACAAATTTGCACACATCAAGTATTTATACTATAACTTTTAATGCAGTATGTGTATCTTCACAAAATTTGGTAGACATTCAGTAAACACAAAAAAATCAGATTTTTTAATGAAGTGTTTTACTAAAGATTAGTTTGTGAATGTCAAGTCTGTTTCATTACTTGTCCGAGTGCAATGTGATTTTCATGTTATGATTAAAAAAAACTATTTATCATCCCTAAAATCTCAAATATCATTTGTATAATCTTTAAAATCTCCTAAGTATAATTCAAACATTTGTTTTCAGTAAAAATGGTATATTTTATCTATTATTTTCTCTACCCTAACTCACTACAAAGTAGGTCAATTTGACAGACCTTGTAACCACTATATATATAAATAATTCTAAACTACCCTTTTTTTCATTCTAGAATTACTTCAAATGTAACAAGAAACTACATTTGTTTATTCTAAGTAGCTTTAAACCTGTAACAGTATACCTCTATTTATAATTAAATTTTATTGTTTCATTGCACTTTGAACAGTGTCTACATACTATTTGTGCCATTATAAGTTGTAAATCACTTGGAGAACATGCAACTCACGTTACGCTATCAAATTACATTACTCACGAGCTACTTGTGTGCATGCGTCATGAAATATTTTCTTTATATTATTATTATTTATTTTACCTAATCTAACTTCAACTAACCTAAAGAGATCCATATTTTTACAATTTAGATACTTTTATAATAATAAATAAAGAATAAACATGAAAAACAAGAAATAAATTACTTACCCGTGTCTTCTTTTTTTTTTACTGTTGACTGTCGATGACACTTAACCTTATTTTTTTGTACTAATGGTAGTAATGTACAAAATAACTTTTATTTAATTAGATAATGCACCAAAAAACACGAAATAATAACATGGAAAAAGCAGACAATTTCCTCTAAATACCACAATTTTTCAGGCTTTCTAACTATGTGATAAAAACCATTACACGATCATCCAAGCTAGTTGTTATCTTTCCCGTGGAACGAAGCTTCTGCTAACTGAGAAATTGACAATTTTCTGTTCCGAAAACAATGTAGTAAGATACATCATTTAATAGATGAAAACCTTTGTTTTCCTTTTGTTATAGATAATACAGAATTAAACGTAAGAGAGAACTTTAACAAATCCTGAAAGAGAGGACGTGACAGGTGGGTGTGGCAAGAGGGGTCTGATTTTCTATTTGATGGCTCTGTAACCAAACAAAATTGAAGGCTATAAAAATTATGGTTTGTCTGAGCAATGATGATTTTATAGTGAGTAATTTACGTTAAATTTCATACTTATTGGAGTGGTGGAGAATAAAATAAAGAGAAGATGTCTGGAGAAAATACGTCGCATTTCTCAATTCAGGATTTTTTTAAATATTGCTTTATAAGATTAAGAATGTAAAACTTATATACTATTAAAATATGGATTATTAGCTACAGTTTTATGCTATACTAATTGGTATAACATAAACAATAAAAAGACTAAAAGACTGTGACATGCACAGTTAGACCCACCCATTGTGAAAGGGTTAATGTTATATAAACCTGATGTTTATATTATTTTCAATGGTTAACCAAAAAACACAGTAATAATTCTAACCATGTCACACCTTGTTTAAGATTAAGATCTTTCATCACAATAATACAAGGATAAAAACTAAAGAGGCGTGTAAAATTAGGCATATTTTCATGTTAGTAAGAAAATTGTGACCTGAGAAACTACTTAATAAACATAAAATAAATCCACAGCTAAACTTTTAGTTCACGTGTGTACACAATTCTGTTTAAAATTTACTTAAACTACTAGTTCATAAACGTGTAAACAGCTTTTTTAAAACCCTAACCAAACTAATGAACACATATGAACAAAGTTTTTTTTATGTTTTAATATACAAATATTCCTATTTGGCTTCTATTACTGTTACAGCATTTGGCACTCCTGGAACATATTAAAGCAATCAAAATAAATATACAAGCAATTTTTAAAGGAGGTTATACATGACAGAAGTAACTTTTTTAGATGTAGGATGATGTACAGATTCAAGTTTATTTTTAGAAACAAACAAAAGTGCCACTTATGTAAAATTATTACCAAACCCAAAAATTAAAATCTACTGAAGATACTGTATTGCTAATTAGAGCAATAAACTATGAAGATAATTTTGTATTACATTATTATTTTTTTCTTTAGAAATATCATTAATTTGATATAAATCCAACTTACCAGGGACTTCTATGCCAGTTCCATTTTTCTTAACAAAGTGTTCCAACAGACTTGAAACATCAATTTCATTACACTGTTGTTTGAATTCCAGGTTTGCCTGAGAATATTTAAAATTTTCATGATACTGGATGTAAGTTACTTTAAAGCAGTTGTATTTTTTGTTAATACACCAACAATACTAATGATTACATGATACAAACCAACCTAAAGAAATAAAAACAACTTAATTTACTTCATGCAAGATGATTTTTTTTT